GGCAGCGTTGCGGGGTGGCGGGGGACTCCCCAGGAGTGGGGCGGGAGCACCCAGGCTTCCGGCCCCCCCCCCGGGGCTGTAGAATAGTCAAGTAACCACTAAGAATTCAGGAGGTTACTCGGCTATTGGCTTAACCGATATTTACCATCCCTAGTGCTGGGCTGGATGCAGCCAGTGCAATGCCAGCGTCTCTGCCAGTGGGGCTAGGCGGAGGTTACAGGGGCTCTGCCCGGCCCTGGCGGGACATTGCGACCCCAGGAGGGAAAGGGCGTTCTGCTCTCCAGCCGCGGGCTGGCAAGCCGGACGCGTTGCCCTAAAGACAGTGGGAGTAACAGGGCATAGCGGAGAGCAGGCTTTGGCCGGATTTCAGGAGGTCTGGCGCTGCCGCTGCCTCCGGGTCGGGGGGGGGGGGGGGCTAAGTAACCACCGCCCCAGCCACAGGGGTCCCAGGGAAGGGCAGGAAGGAGCCAGGCCTTGAGGGAATCGCGTTGGGAGCTGCTGTTGCTCTTCTGTCCCACTCCAGATTATTTCTCGGCGCACCTGGGGGAATACAGCCACGTGCTCTCGGCTTTGGAAGCCCTCAACACTGCTGTGCTGGCTGCCATGGACAGAGCCAAGCTGGTCCACCGCCCCAGCCACAGGGGTCCCAGGGAAGGGCAGGAAGGAGCCAGGCCTTGAGGGAATCGCGTTGGGAGCTGCTGTTGCTCTTCTGTCCCACTCCAGATTATTTCTCGGCGCACCTGGGGGAATACAGCCACGTGCTCTCGGCTTTGGAAGCCCTCAACACTGCTGTGCTGGCTGCCATGGACAGAGCCAAGCTGGTGAGGATGGGGCCGTGTAGCATCCGGGTCTGAGAGCGCGGGGAGGAGGGAGCTCGGGCTGCAGTGCCGTGTCTCTGTAACACGGGCGTCAGGCCCTCAGACGCTTACTTAATAGCCCTTGCTGGGAAAGTCAGTTCATGCGCGTGCGTGTTACTGACAATGTGATTAACCGGCCCGTGTGTATGTGCAGCACTGCCTGTGACAGGCTGGGCCTCTCCAGTCCGGCACCCTCAGGACCTGACCGGTGCTGAACCAGGGAATGTGCTGAACCACAAGAGGTCAATATTGTCTAGCAGCATCCCCAACACTTCCCCTGCTCCCTGGGCTCTTAGAAGACATTTGGGGGTAAATTCGAGCTAAAGAACAGCACAGAACACTGAGAGCCAGGACTGGTGGCTGGAAACAAACTTTATGGGACCACGGGAAACCTGGCCTCACAGGAAACCTGGCCCCACTAAGTGCACTTGCTGCTAACCCGATGCCAGACCAGCGATGTTGCTGGACCAGAGAGTGCCGGATTAGAGAGGTTTAGCCTGTAGTGGACGAAACAGAAACTCTTCAGCTGCGTGTCAGAGGCAATGTTGCCTCTAATCTTTTATCCACATGTGGATTTTTCCCATCCACGTGCAGAATAATTTTTATGTCCACAGAGGCATGTGCGGATGTGCACCACCAGTAGAAACATAAACCCTAGCTGTGGGCGCTGTGCAAATCAGCTGGGTGGCACTGGACTCTCCTGAGTGGCTGCACAAGTGCCCGGCTTACAGGGAACACTGGTCATAGGCCCTATACTGCTAGCAGCCCGTGCCAGTTCTAACTGAGCCCAAGCAGTAGCAATGTGTCCTTGGAGCTGAGAGATCTGCGTTCCCGCCCGGCTGTCCCACAGCGTCCTGAGAGGCGGGGGGAGGATGTACAGCACAGGAACAAGCGGGAGGCCCAGGTTAGAACTGGCTGTTGCAGCACTGAACTGGTTGTAAAATGTGGGCTGGGTGGGCCCAGTGCAAACATGCTCCCTGCTGCCCGGTGCCAGTGTGCAGCCGGCCCGGTGAGTAAAATCAGTGTTTTCCGAAGTCACAGCAGCGTGCCCCGGGCCGTGGATGGGTTTGGAAAGCCGAGGGGAGCAGGCCTTGCCCGCATGTCACCACGGGGCTACTGGTTGTTCTTAAACTTGTAAATCGCCACCCTTGCAATCTGGCTCGGGGGTTACGTGCCTGGTCCAGGCAGAGCAGGGACAACACCGTGTGACCCGAGGTAGGTGTCCGTTCAGAACTAATCAGCACAGCTTGAGAACTGCCCAGCCCACGGAACGAAGGGCAGATCCAGCAGGTTCCCAGGAAGTATCCAGACACAGCACGGTGGGTTGGGACGATGCCACGCGCAAGAAGCAGCTCTATTGATTGGATGCGTTCCTGACCACCGATCACTCACCCTGCTCCAGCTGGCTGGGCATTCCCCCGGCTCTGCGGGCATGGCTGGAAGAAAAATCTATGGCTATTGTCTAGGCCAGGCAGGCCTGCCTGCTTGTGTGTGGCATGGCAGCGATGCGCTGTGTCGGACCCGGGGCGCGTACTAACCACTGGGCTGTGGGCTCAGTCTCTTAATTGCTTATGCCAAGGGGATCAGCTCCAGCCACGGAGCTGGTGGTCAGGGCACGCTCCTGGGATGTGGGGACCCAGGTTCATTTTGGGGAAAGGCAAGAGCGGGGCGCCGCCCGAACCTCCCTCCCCCGTGCTCCGGCTGGGTGGGGGGAAAGGCAAGAGCGGGGCGCTGCCCGAACCTCCCTCCCCCGTGCTCCGGCTGGGTGGGGGGAAAGGCAAGAGCGGGGCGCCGCCCGAACCTCCCTCCCCCGTGCTCCGGCTGGGTGGGGGGAAAGGCAAGAGCGGGGCGC